TCAGCCCCATGCCCTCAGGGTGGATGAAGCACCCTTTTGCATGTTTGGTGACAATCCAGTATGACTAGCCTTTAATGCATTCATTATGGGATAGTTTGACCAGAGAATAAACCCTCTCATCCTTTTCTTCCTTCCCTTTCTCAACCCCCCATTTGTTTGCCTTGTTGACACTCCATTCCAGAGACTCTGAAAGCCCTAAGCCAACTCCAGTGGAGCTGGACTGTAAGCTCCAGCCACCAACCTCCCAAGAAGGAACCACACTCTCTGTAGTCTTGACCTCACTGTATGGGCACACACCTAGGATGCACAGTTGAAACCATGTGGTAGTGTCAGAAAAGGAGCATAAAAGACCAAGGCTGATATAGAAGTGGAGGTAGCTAAGAGAGAAGGGGCGGAGCTGAGGGAGAGAAAAGACTCCAGGGTCCCATCAAAAACAGATTGTGTAGGGACTGAAAGACAACTCAGTGGGAGTAATGATGTTTTGCACCACTACAGGAATTCCATCAAAGGTCCTCCAGGCAGGTGAGCATTCAGCCTCTGCTTGCATACTCCCAATGACAGGGAGCTCAATATTTTACAAGGCTGCTTATACTAGTTTGAATCAGGTTATGGATTACTGAGAGGACAAGACAGAAACAGGGAAGTGTTTATGGTTAAAGAAAAATAAATAAATGTTTAGGGTATGGGCAAAGAAATAGCATACTGAGAAAAGCATCTGTTATGGGGTGGAGGGAGAAGAGTCCTGGCAGCAGAGAATAGTGATATGGTAGGCAGAATAATGCTCCCCCCCCTCAAAGATGTGCATGTCCTAATACCCAGAACCTGTAAATATTTTACTTTACATGGCAAAAGGTACTTTAACTTAAGGGTCTTGGATGGGGAAGAAACGGATTATCCAGGAAGACTCAATCTAACCACAAGGGTCCTTAAAGAGGGAGGAAGGAGGATCAGAGTCAGAGAAGGAGTTGTGACTAAAGAATCAGAAATCAAAGTGATGTGCCATGAGCCAAGGAAGGTACCCAGCATCTAAAAGCTGAAAAAGCAAGCAAGTTATCCTCCCCTAGAGCCTCCTAAAGGAATGCAGCCCTGCCAACACCTTGAGTTGAGCCCCTTTTTTTGGACTTCTCACCTGGAGAACTTAAATTTGTGTTGTTTAAGCTACTAAGTTTGTGGCAATTTGTTATAGCAGGAAAGAAAACTAATACAACCAGGCACCTGAGAGTGAGAAACAGAAAAGTACAACCTTAATGTGTATATAGATCACCTGGAAATCTTATTTAAATGAAGCTCTGCTTTAGTAGGTCTTGGGTCAGACCTGAAATTCTGTATTTCTACCAATATCTCATGTCATACGAATACCTGATCTGATAAATACTTCAGCAAGAGACTAGAAGACATGCAATAAAAATACCTGTGTAATGTTTTACAGTTTATGAAGCCCTTTCACATCCATCATACTCATTTTATCACCCCTGCAACCCTGTCATGTAGCTATTATTGCCCCAATGATACATATGAGGAGGTCAAATCTAAGTCAGAGAGGTGAAATTATTTGGCCAAGCAAAATCACAGATAGTATCAGGCCAGACCCCTGGTCTCCTGACTCTAAAGCCTGTGTTTTTGCCATTGGACAGTAGTTCTCACCTATGCCTGAATATTGAATTGAGGAACTTTTGAAACCCCAGATGCATAGGTCATATCCCAGACTAATGAAAGTAGAATCTCTTGGTGTGTGGCCCAAATTTCAGTAGTTTTGGAATTACCAAGTGATTCCACTACACAGCTGAGGTTAAGAATCATTTCAGTAGAGCAGTGGTTCTCAAAGTGGTTCTGAACCAGTAGCATCAGCATCACCTAGACGAGTCCCAACTGGGCTGACTGGGCACTTCAAGTCTCTGCCACGTATCTGTTCCATGCCAGTAGGCTACCTCAGGAATGTCCTCATGGAGATGACAGAAACACAAGAAAGAGCAAGGCCTCTCGAGTTGTAGACTTAGAAGCACCATACTTGCACTTCTGCTTCATTCTATTACCCAAAGCCAGGCACATGGTCAAGTCCAGAGACAGAGGCAGAGGACACTTCAAAGTTAAATGCCCAAGGGGGTGGATGCAGAGAGGGTAAAAGATCATTCAACCCATCAGCAAGACCTATCGATTCTACCTTAGAAATACTTTCCACACCTGTCCAATACTCCTTCTATCTTATTGCTACCACCACTTCAGTTCCCCATGATCTCTCTTACCTATCACCATCTGACTGCTCTGCCCAAAGTTTTCTTGACCATTCCTTCTCAGACCATTCTCAATATAACAAGGAGAATAAACTGAAAAAGAAAACCTGCTCTGACCACTCATTTAATTAAGTCTGCCAAATGGTTTCCTATTGTTCTCAGGATAAAGATGAAAATCCTGAGTAAGGCCTGAATTGTTTTCAATTGAGGGGTTATTTTAAAGCAAATAGGTGAACCTGGTGAAAGGGAGAAAGAGAATGAAGAGGGAGTGTGGAAAAGAGAGGCTTTGTAATGACTGCCATGTGAGGACAGCCTGGGACCCCTTTCTCCAACCTCATCTCCTTCCATCGTTTCTTTCACTTTATGGTTAGAACACATCATAATTCCCCAACTTGTACACTATTTCAAGCCTCTGGGGTCTTACTTGGACTGCTCTGTGTGCAAGTAGAGCTCTTTATCCCTCCTTTTGGTACAGCTTCCAAACCCTCTGCCTTATCCCCTAAAAAAAAAAAAAAAAAAAAAGAGAGAGAGAGAGGAGAAGAGCACAGATTGGTTTGGCTGAGTGGATAGAGCTTTGGTCGGCGGATTGAAGGGCCTCAGGTTTGATTCCAGTTAAGGACAAGAGAGAGGGAAAGGGAGAGGATGTTTTTAGCAAATGCCAGCTTAGGAATACCCTAATTAAGTTAATAACAATTTACCTACCTATATAGTTTAAGTTTTAAAAATTTGGCTCTCAAAAGAAATTTCAATCGTTGTACTGTTGATATTTGGCTCTGTTGACTAATGAGTTTGCCGACCACTGACCTAGGAAGTGGTTATAAATGCAGATTCTCAGGCCCACCACAGACCTAATGAATCCCAAATTCTGGGGATGAAGCCCAAGCCCCATAGGAGATTCTGATGCACTCTCAAGTTTGAGCATCTTGGGCCATCTTGACTCCATGAATGGAGTCTAGGGCTGGGAAAACAAAAGCACACCTTAGATCCACGTATAAAATTAAGCCAGGTGCCAAGCAACTGAAATCAGCCTTCTAATGGATGTAACAAGAATAAGAACAGTACTCAGGCTGGCAACTGAAATACCAAGTCCCCTCGCCACAGCCTTTCTGATCCTTTGTAGGAGAAACATCTGCCAAAGGCCCACTTAGTCTGTCAAAACATCTGAATATATTTGCCTCCAACTCTGCACCTTGCTCCACTCCCTCACTTAAAATAACCTTTCCCATTTGTGCTGTCACCTGAACTGTGTAAATAAGCTTATAACCACTCTTCTCCCCACCCCTCTTTTCTTGGTATCCAAGAAGAGAGCAGCAGGCAAAAGGTTAGTTCTAATGTACCTGCGCAAATGGATATACAACCTAAAATAAGAGTGACCTACACAGCTGCCCTTTCTGAGCCTATCTCACCTGCCTCAACAACACTGTCACCCTTTGGCCTAACTCTATCCCTGGGAAATGGAAAATTCCACAAACATTAGAGCAGACACTTTCTAGAATGCAGTCCACCTCCTCTTCTCCTGTCCCAGATATATCTTAGGTCTACAGAATCAAGAAAGACAAAGATCAAGAAAGGCAAGGTTAGCCCAGCTGGTGTGGCTCAATGGTTGAGGGTCAACCTATGAACCAGGAGGTCACGGTTTGATTCTCCATCAGGGCACTTGCCCGGGTTGTGGGTTGAATCTCCAGTGTGGAGTTGCAGGAGGCAGCCAATCAATGATCCTCTCTCATCATTGATGTTTCTATTCTCTCTTTCCCTCTCCCTTTCTCTCTGAAATCAATAAAAATCTATTTTAAACAAATTTTAAAGAAAGGCAAGGTCATAAGATAAAGGCAAGGCTGGCAGCCACTACTCATGACCAGAAACATGGTCTGACATGGTGCAGAAAAATTTTCAGTGAGTATATCCCACAGACACAGCCTTACTAGTAGACAGGGACAGGCTATATTCTAAACAAAATGAATGCTATTTACAGTTCTCAGCTTTATTTTTCCCTCCCTTCTAAATCCCAAACTGACTGAATTCCGAGGGATGAGAAAGAGGGAAACAGCACACCCTGTTTGAGAAAATTAGAATCTTCGGTGTTAGGAAGCAAAAGATAAGAAACAGCTTAAATATATGATAAATCCCCTGGAAGTCTGCTGAGCCCTGAAATAGCTTGCCTGCCCTCACTTCCCACTTTAACTGATTATGATCATCTTGCTTTCATTAAAAGCAGTCATTATAGTAACTGAGAATTAGTTACTGAGTAAGTGCTTGATTAAGCTGAGATTAGTTGTTAAGCTTGAGATTGAGGAAGAAAAGAAGTGGAAATTTAACATTAGGCTGTGGAGGAAGAAAAGGTGTGGTTAGTCAATTGTATCATCTGCCAGACAGGAGATCTACTGAATGCTCCAGTCCCTCCATCGTCTGTGAAGCATCAGTGAAAGGAGAGAGAGTCTGGTGAGAGTGTGCACCAGGTACTTTCGAGTTGTCTAGTAACTTGGTTGTTGGAGGGGGAGGGACTAACTCAGGGCTCAGGGGAGGTCTGCACAGGGATTGCTGCCTTCAGAGAGCTGGAGAAGCAAGAGGCTGAGGACTGAAAAGGGAAGAATGAGTGATTCTTAATAACCAGCAGGATCCCAAAGATGACAAGCTGCCAGCCTGGACTGCCAGTGATGGCCAGAATTGTGCTGTAGCTCTGAATCCACAGCTTCTTCTCCTCCAGCCCATGAGAAATTGAGCTAGAGAGCCAGCATGCCTTGGTAAGTGGAAATCCTGCCACTTCCAGACATGGAGTCATCTTTCCCATTTGGAGTGATCCTTGCTGTCCTGGCGTCCCTCATCATTGCTGCTAATGCACTAGTGGCCGTGGCTGAGCTGTTGTTGATCCACAGGAATGATGGCGTTAGTCTTTGCTTCACCTTGAATCTGGCTGTGGCTGACACCTTGCTTGGCGTGGCGATTTCTGGCCTAGTCACTGACCAGCTCTCCAACCCAGCTCGGCCCACACAGAAGACCCTGTGCAGTCTTCGGATGGCATTTGTCACTTCCTCCGCAGCTGCTTCTGTCCTCACAGTCATGCTGATTGCCTCTGACAGGTACCTTGCCATCAAGCAGCCTCTCCGCTACTTCCAGATCATGAATGGGTTTGTGGCTGGAGCCTGCATTGCTGGGCTGTGGTTGGTGTCTTACGTCATTGGCTTCCTCCCACTTGGAGTCCCCATATTCCAGCAGACCACCTACCAGGGGCCCTGCAGCTTCTTCGCTGTGTTTCACCCGCGCTTTGTGCTGACACTCTCCTGCGCTGGCTTCTTCCCAGCCCTGCTCCTTTTTGTGTTCTTCTACTGTGACATGCTCAAGATTGCCTCTATGCACAGCCAACAGATCCGGAAGATGGAACATGCAGGAGCCACAGCTGGAGCTTACCGGCCCCCACGGACTCCCAGCGACTTCAAGGCTGTCCGCACTGTGGCTGTTCTCATTGGGAGCTTCACTCTGTCCTGGACCCCATTCCTTATCACTGGCATTGTGCAGGTGGCCTGCCAAGAGTGCCACCTCTATTTAGTACTGGAACGGTACCTGTGGCTGCTTGGTGTGGGCAACTCCCTGCTCAACCCACTCATCTACGCCTATTGGCAGAAGGAGGTGCGGCAGCAGCTCTACCAGATGGCCCTGGGAGTGAAGAAAGGGCTCGCTTCATTCTTCCTCCTTTTCTTGGCCAGGGATGGTGGCCCAGATGTGTCGAGGGAAAGTTCCTGTCACATTGCCACTATCTCTCACCCACAGCTTGATGGCTAAAACGGTAAGGTGAAAAAAGTTTCAAAATGCCCTTTCCCTCCTCTCTCTGGGTCCCAACCAGGAGATCAGATGGAACTAGGGGAATGGAAGCACTTATTTCAGGCAATTGATCATTACCCCATAACCCCTCACCCCAGACTAAGAGGTAACTGAGACAGGTTGCTGACTTTCTTCTATAATCAATTTCCCCATTTGCAAATCTCCATTTGTGTGTCCTTCTCTTGCAATAAGTCTGTTTCTCCTATATAGGTGTACTTACTTAAAGCAATAAATGTTCTATTGTGCCCAACTGGTATTGCTCAGTGGTTCAGCATCAACTCATGAACCAGGAGGTCACAGTTCGATTCCCCGTCAGGGCAGATGCCTGGGTTGCGGGCTCGATGTAGGGTGTGTGCAGGAGGCAGCCAATCAATGTTTCTCTCTCATCATTGATATTTTTATCTCTCTCTCCCTCTCCCTTCCTCTCTCTAAAATCAATAAAACTATATATTTTTAAAAAGAAATGTACTACTGTAAAGATGCTTAAAAGTCAAACCCTATTTTTAATATACCAGAACAACACTGTCCAATAGAAATATAATGCAAGCCACATATATAGTTTGTTTTCCACATACATAGTTTTAAATGTTCTATTAGTTACATTAAATCGGTTTAAAAAATAAGAAATAGGTGAAATTCATGTTTTATTTAATCCAATACAGCCAAAACATTATTTCAATGTAATCAATATTTTAAAAAACTATTGCATTATTTTTTGCACACTAGATCTTTGAAGTTTGGTGTGCATTTTACCTTTATAGAACATCTCAATCCAAACTAGCAATATTTCAAATGCTCAATAGCCACATGTGGCTAGTGGCTAGAAAAAATGAGGTCTGTTCTTTTTCTGTTTGTTTGAAATTCTATTCTTTCTAACTTTATTATAGTGATTGCTTTGGTAAAGTGAGGAGTCCTGTCCCCCTGATATAAATCAGACCTTTTAACTAGTGAGTTTGCACAAAATGTAGGAACCTGTATTAGATTCTAAAACGTGTCTTTTCCCACACATCATGGTGTTCAAGACAGTGTTTCTCAGGGAAATAGCCTACTTGTGATTATTTCTATTAACTCTCCCAATCTACCACCTTTCAAACTCTGTGGTGCCCCTTCCCCTCAGTTGGCCTCTTACTTAATTTGTAGCTACTTGGCTGATGACAATGATGAACCACAAATTCTGAGACGGAGAAAAAGGGAAAAGGGGTCAGTATCAAGAAAGGCACTACCAAACTCTTTACACTAGACCCACTTTGATCTCTAGACCTTGAATTTCTTCCATTTACTCCCAAACTTTCATTTTCCTAAGAAACTCAGTTGCATAAAAGGATGTCTCCACAATGGCTCAGGAGACCAGCTGGGGAGCAGGTGCCTCTTTCTGCTTTCTGTGGGTACAGAAAATGACTGTTGGAATCTGGGAATTATGCGCAGGTTCCCTCTCGGCAACCCTAGCAGCAAAAATTCAAGAACAGAGTGGGGAAGAAACCTGGGAACTAAACTCAGCCTGCCTGAGCTTCCATGTAACCCTCTCCTCAATCTCCTGGTCTCCACAGTGGATTCCTAGAAAGTTTGTCACTTAAGGCCCTAAACTAGATTATCTCCCTAGAAAGCAGAATAGACAAAAGAGGGCAAGAAGAAACCTCAACAGTATGGATGAATTTGTCTGGGATTTGGTACCAAAACAGCCTTGGAAGGTTAACCTCTCTGTATCTCTAAAATGATGGCCTGGGAACTTGGATACTTTGCACTTGGCTTTTAATTCCCCTTCAGTCTTAGATGAACTCCTAACTTGCTTTCCTTAAGTTGTTCAGAGGTTAATGATCATTCCTTACAATTTCTATACTCTCAAAAATTCCTTTCTCTCTGTTTTCAACCTTTACCTTCACAAATGGCCTGTTTCTCACTAATTTATTCTAATACATAAACCCTCCTTTGGGAGATCTTTTGTCAGTTGCTTTGCTTACCACTCTGGTCCAGGGGAAGACTGTGCTTGCCTTCACCATGGTAGGTTTTATGTTCCTACAACTGAAGAAATTTTTTGGCTCTAGAGGGGATGATGGAAGCCAACATGCATTGAAGTATTGAGCACCCAGCGAGGACCAGTTATGCCAGCAATAAGGAACACCCTTGGATTGGATTATGAGTTATTGGGAACTAGGTAAAACACAAACTAACTGAGTTTTTGGACAAAATTGAAAGCCAGCTCAAGTGACTACCCTCCTTATTAGTGGTTCAAAGCTTAATTTCTTGGCCTTGCTGCAAAGGACTGATCTTGTCAAGGTAACACAAAGTATAATGGAAATTAGTTACAGGAGAAAGGCAGGAGCTGAAGAGAAGCTAGGTGTTTATGGTGTTATTAAGTTCCGTTTAAGAAACCCTTTATCCCTGGGAGTCGGTATGTGCAGTGGAAAAAAATCACAGACTTTGAAGTCCCATAGATCAGCGTTCAAATTATGATCAGCCATTTAAATTCTCAAAGCTGCAGTCTACTCATTTGTAAAACTGTGGTAATAATGCCTACCTTATTTGGTCATAGTGAGGACTAACTCTGATAATGTATGTAAAAAATGCCTAGTAAACTACAGCACACTGTTAGTGCTTAGAAAATGTTCTCTCCCTCTTGCTTAAAAATCCTGAATAAAACATCCAGCTGGCCAATTTAAGGGAGTCCATCATATCTGTAGATATTATGACCTCCAGGACAAGAACAATTTTGAACATACGTAAATTCACAGTTCAGAGCTGTGAATTCCTCAATCCCTAAGTAAGGTTGTTTTAAAAAAAAAAAAAATGAATGATGAGAGGTGACTCGGGTTGAAAAACACAAACAGTAAATCGAATATCTTAGCAGGATCAAGGCAGAGCAGATACAAGCAAGGCACTATAATCATCCACTTGGGCTTAAGAGTAACTGCAATGAAAAACACTGCATTTAAAAAGCCACCAAGAGCAAAGATACAGAATGCTATATCAAAGTCTAATGGCTTTCTTTGACGCAGGCCCCTTCACAGATAAGGGAATGCACTGGAGAAGAATCATTTAGATTTCATTCATGCATTCAGTGTTGTCTCTGGATGGACATGCAAAAAGGCCAGATTCAGTTTAGCAATTTGATCAAAATAGCCAAAAGATATTAAGACCTTATATGATGAAATGTAGTTCAATCAGTCCCATGTAGCTTCCATGAACAGCTTATTGTGAATTTGTTATAAAAATTGTGACATGACTAAGTTTTATACTGACTTCTCAAGTAGCTAACATTATACAAAGCATACCAGTTTCAGAGGACTACTTTCAAGAACATAAGAACACAAAGCACTCTGTGCAGGGGCATTTTGGGTGGTCTCATAAGTGTTAGAGGCAGGTTTCCCTAATCTACCCACACTCACCTGCTTGTCCACATGACCAATAAGCCCATCTCTGAGAGTTGGCCAGCCGGAGTTAGCCTTGGAATATCTTTTTCTATATGAAGACATGTACATGGTTCAAACGGGAAATGAACTCATGATTTTGATTTCATTCTCTCAGTAAATGGCCAAACTGAATATAGACCAGTGAAATCAGCATGCATGAGAGAAATTTCAAAGACACAAATAGAACAAGAGGAAAAATGGTGTCGGTAGCTGGCCAGCAAGAACAGCAATGGACCTAAGACTTGACCACAACTCCTTGGCTGCTGTCAGCCACTCATTTTGTGACTCCTTCAGTAACCCCTATGTCATCCTTCAAACCGCTGGCTGATCTGAAATCTCATTTTAATTAAAAAATATTTATTTGTTATTTCTGCAGTCACATAAACTCAATTATGGTACCTACAAGTGTCAACTGTCATTCATTCATTTATCTGTCTATTTATCTGTTTACGTACCCCACAAACATTCATTATTCAGAGCTAGGTATTAAAACTGCCCCAGCTTTGCTGGGATTTGTTAGAGATATATATTGATGTACATATGATTTTCATTATTCTTCTCTGATTATAATAGCAGTTTTTGTTCATTTTAGAAAATTTTGAAAATACAGTTATCCATAATTGTATCATCCAGAAATGATCACTGTTATTCTCTTTCATCTGTTCTCTTCACTTAGCTTTATATTGTGTATTTTTCTGTCATTGTTTTCTTCAAAAATATGACTTGTAAAGGTTGTTTTTTCAACATAAGTATATATTTTAACCTTTTCCCTATAGTTGTACATTTATGTTATTTCCAATTTTTCACTGTTATAATACCACAATATCCTTCTGTAATATTTGACATGTCTGTTTAATGCCTTTGGATAAATTCTCCAAAGCAATATTACTAGGTCAAGGAGCATTAAACATTTATAAGAATTCTGATTTATATTTTTGCTGGAATTTCTTGAAGTGTAATGTTTCCCTAGGATATTTGCTAACAAAAATGAAAAGTGAGTTATAAATGAACACACTACACTGATATGAATATCTAAAAAAAAAGTGCATGGCTTCCTGAAAGTGCATGGCTTCCATAAACCATACTGAAGGAGATTACCTAGTTGGTATTTACAAAAGGAAACCTATTGATATGCCCTGCTGCTAGAGTTAATCTGCAAATTTAGAAATCTGAACTAATGGGACACAGTACCTAAGAACAGTCCTCACAGTACAACTAGATCATCAATATAGCATTGTATGATATCCAAGTATTGATTTCAATGTGTTTTCACTCTTAAAATTTTCTGAGGTAGTTGTTTTGTACAATACCATCAAATGCTAAGGCATGAGAATATAAAAACATGATCACATGGAGTCAGGAGACAAGTTTTGATGCAGTTAAGTCTCGAAGCCGTAGTCTCACAGCCTTGCTGAAAAGGAAAGGTGTGCTCATCTAATGGATCACCTATGGCAGGGTAAAGTTCATGAAAGCTTAACATGCTACTACCCAACCATATGTCCACTGGATTTACAAGCTGTTGGGACCATAATCAGCCACTGAGCTCAAAGAGCC